TCTACTAATATCAGAAAAATCAAATCCATTGCTGTTGAGTCAATTCTGACTCACAGCAACCCTATAGGATGGAGCAGAGGGTTTCCAAGGAGTGGATCATAGATTTGAACTGCCAACCTTTTGGTTATTAGCAGCCATAATGCTTAACCTCTGTGCCACCAGGGCTCCATCTTTACTAACATCCCTACTAATATCTACTAATATCTCTACAAATAACACAGGCAAATAATTTAACCAATATTGATCTATCTCTAGATCCAAATTATATGTGGAGTCCTGGTGGTATAGTGGTTAAGTGTTACAGCTGCTAACCAAAAGGTTGGTAGTTCGAGTCTACCAGCTGCTCCTTGGAAACCCTATGGCTCAGTTCTTCTCTGTCCTATAGGGTCACTATGAGTTGGAATTGACTCAAGTTCACGCTGAGAACATTCTGAATGGTTCTTTTAGTGGGGAAGTACGTCCAAGGAAAATCTTCAGTCAACACTGTCGATATTTTTTAATCAAAATCTATACCTAATATATTCAAATGGTTAAAGAGTTCAAAGAACTAGACTAGAAATTTATACCTAAGGATTTTTAATACCTAAACTGTGGCATCATTTTATGAAATTAAAAATGTATATATTTAGCAGCAAATCTCAAGTAGAGATTTTGTTTTTTTAAAGTATTACATAGCGGCATCGTAATTATCAGATGCTGCTGGGAAATTAATTGTTCTACCTAAGCAAATAATGCAGAACATAGGAATGCACCCTCTTTACAACTAGACTTGGGCTAAAAATCCTTCCAGGACATAATGTGGAATTCTGTCTTTACAGGGAATCCTCAACGTAACTCACTGTAGAACGCAGCACTGAACAGTGAAGTGCTTCACTTCCATTTCATGTTCCTTGTATAATGTTTCCAACTTCTTTTGTGGGGGATGTCTTCAGTTACTTTTGGTTGTTTTTGTTTTTGTGTCAACCTGTGGTCAGCCATTCTGGGGTCATTTAGTGCATATGAAACAGGCAATCCATGGCGTCTACGTCTGGAGGTTGCTTGAGCCAAGCATGAGTGCCGTGCAAAGGCTTTCCCTGCACAACTGCCCTGTTCCAGACAGTTGAGACTGAAGGATAAGTGAGCAAAACAATGTTACCATAACCTAACTTCTCAACAGCTTTAGCTCTCTCTAAGGTTACCTGCACATCCACACGTTTAGATTTTAAGCATCTGTGTTGAGTTCGTGATCTACTTTTTCAAAATTTTTTCTTTGTACTTCTTTTTAAAGGGAAACAAACTGATAATTTCCAAAGAACTTCCCAAATCCAATGTAAAAGCAGTAATTCAACTTACGGGACTCAGGTATACCAAGAAATCTGTGGCAGTCACAGGAACATTTTCCAATTTCTGGTAAAATTTTCTTTGCATATACAGTCTTAATATTTTTTCCTACTGCATTTATTTTAACCTCTCACCTTGAGCCTGTTAACTTTGAAGTTATTTTAAAATCGTCATTATGAAATTAAAACATACTTAAGATGTATAAGCATTAATAAGCACACCGCTGGTTGCACTAATGAGATGGTAATACAAATTTAAAGGTTCTGAATTTATGGTAGATTGTTCTACTTGATTCATAAATCACAAAAGTTCACTCCTGTTAATTTATAAGAACAGAATAATATGTGAATCTTTTTTTCTAAAAGATGTTTACGAGCAACCTAATGATGGCAAAGGGCATAGCCCCTTGTATACACCATAAGCTAAACCCACTGTCGTCAAGTTGATTACAACTCAGAGCAATCCTATACGACAGGTAAGAACTGTCCCATAGGGTTTCCAAGGCTGTAAATCTTTACGGAACCAGACTGCCACATCTCTGTCCCGCGGAGCAGCTAGTGGGTTCTACCCACCAACCTTTGGTTAGCAGCTAAGTGCTTTAATCACTGCACCACCAGTGCTCCCTATACACCATAAGGTATACGCAATTTTAGTAGATCATTCATAATTAAATGTTGCTGAAACTACAAATATTTTAATTTGGAAATATATCACTTAACACTGTTGCCTAGAAGAAGTCTAATTATTTCTAACCAGAGGCACGATATGTGTACATACATACATGACAACACACACAAACACCCATGTAAGGGGTGGCTATATAGGCTACATGTATGCTATCTTATATATATACAGATACAGCATGTTTTTAAATGAAATAATTATTTCCCAGAAGAGAGGCAAATTATGTTTGAGGTAAGAAGTCTAACCATATAAAGAAGATAAAGCTTTATTTTATATTTTTTCTAAATAAAAAAATCAACATACATGAAACTTAGAAAAACTTGAGTACTATGAGACTTCTGGTTCAAGAAAATGGTATCTTCTACTTTCATGCCAAATTAAAAAAAAAAAAAGTTCTGTGCCTTGGAAAGACAATTTGCAAGGCACATCAGGAAGCATTTACAATCTAAAAATCCAAAATAAGCAACTAAACAGAACTCAGACGTAGTTTTTTGTTTTAACTGCATTTTGAAAACATATGGTAACTTGACATTTTAAAGCACTTATATTATATTCCAAAGAAATGTTTAGGGTGCTTTACATTCTGGCTGTAAAATGGCAATCATTTAAAAAGTAATGTATTTTATGTCACCAAAATATAAGATCAATATTCCCACACAGAATGTTTTTCAAAAGTCCCCAGTAAATTGTCCAAGTTGAGAGAAGGAATAGAAAAAAAAGAGTTATTAAATGACAGAAGATATTTATAAAAATTGTTTGATCTGACTGGGCCTTAAATGGAAGAAAAAACCCCAAGACTGTGCTGGCTTCAGATACATTCATTTAAAAACAGCAGGCGGGGTGGGGAGGATGCAATGAGAGAGCACAGGTAATTTTAAAAGGCATTGTCTAGAAACCAGAAATGAGGAGAAAACCACCTCAGTGCTCTATGATCACCCAAGAACAAGTTTAGCCAGATGAACAAGTCTGCTACAAACCCTCCCCAAGGCATCTGAAAGACTATCAGACAAAACTTTATTAAACTGGATTACATGGCCTCACTCATTAGATGTTGAAGGCCACAATGTTTATGATCAGGTGAAAAAGTCGATGTACGGGACCCAAACTAGGCCTAGGCCCTCTTTTTTTTATTAGTACAAGCATTGTTAAGACAACCCACGGATTAAATTTCTTTGCCAGCAGGTCAAGTTCCTGAATCTCAGGTATAAGCATTCACATTCAGAGCACTAAACCCTGATGGGGTTGAAAGGCTATTTAGATATGCGCTGACTACATCCCTGCAATAAGCAGGTGATTACATCGTTATATGCAATTGTACTCTTCCTTTATTAGGAGACTTTAACCCTGTGAAAATGTGTTCCCTCCTTACTTATCTCCCTCCCGTTCAAGGACTTCCAAAAGAGAAAAAACAAGAAAACAGTTTAAATGTTTCTAAGTATTTCCCCCACAGTTCATTAATCAAAAATTCAGATAAAGACTCAACCTTAACTTTTCCCCACGATAACATACATTCAGTAAAAGAACACTTTATAACTTTTACATATGGAGTATTTTCTTGGCACATTTGTATTTTGAAACATTTAGGTTGGATTTTTTATTAGATGCTTAATTCTACTGTGGCTGTTTTGTTTAACTGTAAACATAATTTCTACCTTGGGCTGCTTATGTAGTATTTTTCCTTTTATATAATCAATTTGTCTATGTCTAAAAACTCAGGCCTAAGTAACTCATTTATTTCTTTAAAAGCAATTTCTCGAAAAAGCCCTGGAATCTACCACCCTGTCGCCCACACTATTTAGATTTTAATAAGTAGTGTTTATCGCTAGGCCATCAAACAATACTTCCTAACATGCATACAAAATGTCTGCAACCATATTTCTCAGTGCTCTATCACAGCACTGACCTTTGTTCAAATGCTTTTACTTTTTAATGCAGCAGTTAGAGATAACTACTTCATTTATCAAAACTCAATTTCCATAGTAACATCTAGCCTGGGGAGATTCAAGTCCTCACACTAATCCAACAACCCATTCAAAGGAACTGTTGAATACTTTGGTTTCCATAGCAATGATGGAATAATACATTTTCCTAGGTCATTGCTTTTATTAGCAAACTTATTCTTTGAACTTTAGGTAAGGCTGTATTTGCTCAGAGAGAGAGAAAAAAGCAATCACTTTATATTAAAGTTCTTTCCATTAGGGCCGTTCTTGTAAGAAAGTCACAAATAGTAACCATATATGTATTTGAAAATATTTTGCGTATTGGTGGCTTTGAAAGAATGCCATCTACTTTTATCTTAAAATGGGTTAAAAAGCTCTTGAATGTGACTTCTATAGACCTGACAAAACAAATATTTATAAAATTAATGGGGCTAAACTTAAAAGCACGTTTTAAAACAGGGATGAAACCAACTAGAATGAAGTCTCTGAAACCCATCAAATGTGGGCTGAGATAGAGTGTAGAATAATTTATAAACCACAACCCATTCTTGGACTGCCTGATCTTAATACTCCCGCAACTTCAGCCCCAACTTTCATTAAGCACAGAAAACATGCTCAACACAGATATTTTGGGCTAAAGGTGAAATTAAAGATAACGTATTAAGAGTTATGTTTTACAGGCTACAAGAAAAAATTTTAGTACTTAAAATGGCTTTACAAAAGCAAAATCAGTTACGTTTTTCTTCCTTCAAGACAAGAATAGTGCCCTTATAGTGTTTAAATCCATTAGTAAATGCTGTTGTATTTACATTTTTGAGTAATTAATTCTATGTGAGGTGACAGGGCAAGGTCTTAGTGAGGAGAACATCATCCTTCCTGGAACCAGACTTTTTCACTGAACTGGGTTTTGAGCCGAGCCAGTGCTGAAAAGGTAGGCCATTAAAAAATAAAAGTTGACAGAAGAAAGAAGAGATCAAACACGTGTTAGCTTTTAAAAGGATGAATACCACTTACAGTATTTACACAACTCACAGAATTAACAAGAAAATTACATACCAGTATGAGTCCTCAGGTGAGCTTTTAAATGAGAAGACTTTGTATAAACTTTTGTGCAGCCTAAAATAAAAGAGGAGAGGAAGAACAGCTTGTCATTTTGGAGATCCTTTTGAAATCTTTACATTTGATGATTCAGTGTTTAAAATCTGGCTTTAAAGAAGAAGTCTCTCATGCTAGATGGGATATTTGAAGCTTCAGTTTTAAAAGAAGTTTTTAAGAGCCTTCCCCCATTACCTTATTAAAAGAGCATAAAGTGATTTGTCTTATGCATCACTTTTGCAGGAATAAACACAGGTAACCAAGCCAAGCTACAAATGGAAAATTTTGTGTTTATACTTCAAAAAAACCAAAACCAAACCCACTGCTGCCGAATGGACTCCAGCAGGTGCTTTATACTAGTAACACATACATACTGTAATACATATTCTAAATAAATTTAAATGGCTCTAGAGCTGACAATCTTAAACCATTATCCAAGATGACTGTAATTTTCCATACTCCTACGTTTCATGCTTTTTCATTTAGCATGTCATGCCATGTCAGGTACCACATCAATAAATCATACCCCGTATTAATCATATGAACTAGCGTATACCAGCAACTTATACATTCATTACCATCATCAATTTATACTGAGCCATGTATCTTACTCAAGAATGATATTAACACATGCTACTATTAGAACCATCCTTAAATCTACCCTGTAGACAGTCTTGTACCTGTCAGGCTAGCTGCCTACCCAATCGCCACTTCATTATCACACCTTATTTTCTCCTCCCGCTACTTAATCTCTTTCCAGGGCACTTAACTCAGAATTAAAAACTCCAATTTACTAAATTGCTGTTAAACTAACTGTGGCATAACTCTAAACGATTTATGTTAGAAATTCAAATTTTATTTAATATCAAAGAAAAGGTCCAAAGTAATTTTTTCCCCAAAATACGTTAGCCATTTTTTGTTTAATACATAAAGTAAGCAACAGACAACAAATGGTTATATACAAGGCCAACAGAGAGACTAGGATATGAAGAGCACAATTTTTTTTTTTTTTCTCGTCGAGCACCATGCTTTCCTACGTAAGTTTAAAATTTTAAATCTGAGGTTGAAAGACACAGACAAACACAAAATTTTTCGTGCTTTAACCAGGTAAAATCACCTACCAGGGTAATCACAGAAGTGGATGCGTCTTTTCTCCAAATCGGGATTACTCCTTCTATTGTATCTGACAGGTTGGATGTTTTGTGAATTAACTGGCAAGGTGGCAGGTAAATTTGGATTGTGGATTGCCAGTTTAGAAGCGATTGTAGCAGCATAGGATGGAGGTGGGGTTAAATTCTGGAGCATCTCTGCTTGTCTATCTGGACTTCCAGGCTCTGAGCTTGGTGGTGACGGAGGAAAGTAAGTGGCCTGTTGTGGAAGAAACTGACTTGGCATTGTGTATGTGCAAGGGGGCATGCCCTGGAATTGTTTCACTGCAGTCTGCGGAACAGCAGAGGTGAGCGTATTAAGGCCGGCCATGGCGGCTGACATAGAGACATTAAGAGAGTCTATTACTGCTGTCTGGTTTGTAGAACTGGGCATATCTAAATCCGGTGTGTTCAGTAGCTGGTACAAGTGGCCCTGCTGGGAAGGGACAGAAAGATGAAGATCTGGTGTAGGAAGTTCTTGTTTGATGAAAATATTGTTCACCTCTGGAGCTGCGGTCTGGTGTGAGCTGAATATACTGGTGAACTCGGGGAGGGCCTGGGTCGGGGCCGGAGGAGGGGCAGTCGTTTCGCTCTGGTGGCTGAAAATGGTAACAGGTTCTGTCTTGATGTGTGTTACACACGGTCTCTGGGATTTGTAGAGGCCAGTTCTCAGGTGAGTGATGTCAGGGAGAAAGACGTTCATGTTGATACTGTAAGGTAACCCTTCACTGTCAGTGAAGAACTGGTCTACAACTGAGGCACTGTCTCGTCTATACTTTTTATGCTCTGGAATTATAGGAACTGGAGGAAGCTGAGGTGTCAGATACTTCTCCATTTCACATCTTGTCTGAAAAAGAAAAGATACAAACATACGCATGATCTACCTGATTCATCTCAAGAAGGACAAACGTTGCTGACTAATATCTTCCCCACGCCCACAATCTCTTTAAAAAGTATTATGGCGAACTCCTTCTAAGAGTTTCTTATAAACATAACCAGGTTTATTTTGTAAACTGTGTGATACCTGGTTCACCAAAACCTTATGGAACTCTGTGTAACATGCATTTGGTAAAATCGCCTTCCCCAATCAACCCCAGACAAAAAGTGAAAGAGGCAAATCAAAAAAGGGAAGCAAACAGAACATATTCCTTTCTGATGCAATAATAAAGTATCGTCCATATACAAGCAAGATTCCCTACCCCATTACACAGTAAGTTTGCAATTAAAGTACAATATGATAATATTGCCAAACTACCTCAACTCTTCTCACACAGCATAAATTTAACTCGTTTTAAGAAAACAAACATGCAAACCTTAAAAACAATATTCATCGCAAAAGTTTTCACTTGGATAGATACTGCCGAAATATTTAATCTTTAATAAAACATATTCCTCGGCTATTTCAGTGCCTTTTCTTGTTTATAGTTCAATGGAAACTTAAATACAATGTTTTGAGTAAAATACAGTATCCACTGAAAAAAGAACAAAACAACTTCACATTCAACATTTGATCTAAATGTTGATTTTAATCAGCAGATTCTGTAATTGGTTAATATGATAATGAAACGTTCCTATTCATATCCCTATCTAAAACAGATCTTTAACTACCTAGTTGGGAAAATCACTCCCTTGGTAGAGTGGTGCTAAGGAGCCCGTGGGTGGGGAGAGGTGGCTGTACTGCTAGCACGGTCATCAGCAAAGCATTTATCATGTCCTTTTCAGTAGGCCAATGCTACATTCCCCCTTACTCTGTAAAAAGTTCAATCATCCCTTATCCTCTTGGTGTCCCTTAAGCAAAAAACTGACAAACTGAATTAAGCAAACAGCTTTCAAATGCTGATTTTTTAGGACGTAATTCAGTTTGTGTCTAGACACCTCAGTCTTTTAACAGGTATCTTCTCTCCTAGTACAACATAAGCTTACTTTTTCTATTAATTTTTAACACTGGAATTTTGAAAAGAGAAAACACACACACACAAAAAAAAAAAAACCCAACTAAACGAAATGGCCCATAGAACTCATTCACCTTAATCGGTGAATAAGACAGTCATGTACTTTCTGCCACTAAATTTCAAAAGCGTTTCATCTCGAACCTCGGATTCTTCGGTGTGGATGATACTGGGGTTTCCCGGACAGACACGATTTAAAAATAAAATCAATGCTCCAGTCATGTGAATCACATCTCTGACAAATGCCAGTGCCCCCTCGCAGCACCGCGACACTGGCAGGCAAACCCCCCGCAGTAGGAGCCGGGTAGCAAATACACAGTATACCAGGGGCTATATTAAATGAAGTGTCTTGAAATAAACCGAACTTAAACCCTTTCGTGCACTGCGCTCCCGTGGCGGTTAGTGGTTTCTGATTTTAGCTCTTCCAGCTGTTTGCATGTGGGTATGTTTCCAATTTTTTTTTCCTTGGGACAGGCTAAAAGTCCCGGGAAGTTTTTTCTGGGCTATATGACTCCCTGCGTGGGCGAAAAAAACAGGCGGTTGCTCTAATTCGGCTGCCGGGCAAGTGTAAAGCCAACTGCCAGCTTTCAACGCCGCTCTGGGAGGAAATTTACGCGTACACCAAGACAACAACACCCACAGTTTTTGCTTTTTTCCTTCTTTTTAAGGAAAAATAAGACCTTCTCCAATACAATCTTGGCTTTCCTAACTCGCGTTTCCCAAACAGGCAGCCTCACAATTGCGTCTGAAGCAGGTCGAGCAAAGGGGTTTCAAACTAGCACCCCGAAGAACCTCTTCAACACCTCAACTTGCGTTTCTACTTAACCCGAGACGCCGACGGGGGTGCGGTGGGGCGGGGGGGGGGACCTCCAAGGCCATGGCACTGGGAGGAAGACGGGGGGAGAAATGGCGAAATTTAAGTACAGTTGGGCATGAGGTACAAGCTTTCATCCCCCAAATACAAGAAAAACAACCGCGGCGCGCGTGAAATACCAGGTTTCTTTTTAACCTCTCCCGGGCCGACTGGCCAGGGCAGATTCATCTCCGACCCCCTTCCCCGGACTCCCCTCACTTTCTCCCTGCAAAATGCGGATGCCCAGATTGGGACACAGGGCAGGCTTGGCCACCCGGCACGAGCTACCGGTGCGCCCCAACGCACGCCCCAGCCTGGAGCGGCCCCTGTCGCCCGCGGGTCGCAACGGCGGACACGCCCGAGCCCCGAGAGGGCAGAGGGAGGGGAACGGCTCTTCCTACCTGGACCAGCTCCTCCGGGGGCAGCCGCGGGCC